CAAATATATGTGAGCAAGAGGTGCAAAAGATAATCCATTTACAAAATGTTGCAAATCAGTTGCCTGATGCATTCACAGATACAAAGAAAGTGACAAAGTCACATATTCCTGCTATGAATGCCCCTGCCAGAATCGAAATTCCAGCAGAGAATTTTGAAAAATCTCTTGCAAATGATTCTTCTATACGCAAAAAGCGTGGTAGGCCCCTTGGATCAAAAGACATAAAACCAAGAAGAACTAAAAGGCAGGAATTGATCTGTGATGCCAAAGATGTTCATCCTTCTGAACAAGAAAATGAACAATTTGAAAATACTGGCATAGAAAATGATACTGACAGAACAAACATCTCAAATAATGATCCAACTTCCTTAAATGAGGAAGATATTCCAGATACTGATAGAAACGTTGATAATTATGAAATTTCAATAAATTACGTTTCTACTGGAATGCAATGGAATCGAAAAAATATTGATATTAATGAGATATTTGTCTATGCCGTTGCCACAAATGTTATGAATGAAAACAATGACAATGAGCCAACATCAATAGAAGAATGTCGGAAACGACACGATTGGCCAAAATGGAATGAAGCTATTCAGGCTGAATTAAAATCACTTGAAAAACGTGATGTTTTTGGACCGATAGTCCCTACGCCAAAAGGCTTAAAACCTGTGGGTTTTAAATGGGTATTTGTGCGTAAACGCAATGAAAAGAACGAAATTGTTAGATATAAAGCCCGACTTGTTGCCCAAGGTTTTTCTCAAATGCCGGGAATTGATTATGAAGAAACCTATTCTCCAGTAGTTGATGCAACTACATTAAGGTTTCTCATTGGCATGTCTGTTTTTGAAAGGCTGCAAATGCGCCTAATGGATGTAGTGACCGCATATTTATACGGTTCACTTGATACAGACATTTATATGAAAGTTCCCGGTGGATTTAAAATGTCTGAAGCTTATAGCTCGAAACCTCGAGACATGTTTTCCATTAAATTACAAAAGTCATTGTATGGACTAAAACAATCTGGACGAATGTGGTATAATCGTCTCAGTGAATACCTTCTCAAAGAAGGATATAAGAATGATCCGATTAGTCCATGTGTTTTCATTCGACGATCAAATTCGGGATTCGCCATAATTGCAGTATATGTTGATGACTTAAACATTATTGGAACTCCCGATGAAATTGAAAATACTGCAAAATATCTTATGAAAGAATTTGAAATGAAAGATCTCGGGAGAACAAAATTTTGTCTCGGACTTCAAATTGAGCATTTGAAGAATGGAATTTTCATCCACCAATCCAATTACACCGAGAAAGTGTTGAAGAGATTCTATATGGACAAAGCTCATCCTTTGACTTCACCAATGGTCATTCGATCTCTCAACATACACGATGATCCATTCCGTCCACGAGAAGACGACGAAGATATACTCGGTCCCGAAGTACCATATCTGAGTGCTATCGGAGCTTTAATGTATTTAGCTAATAATACTAGACCAGATATTGCATTTTCTGTAAATTTATTAGCTAGGTACAGCTCATGTCCAACAAGACGTCATTGGAATGGGATCAAGCACATATTCCGTTATCTCTGTGGTACAATTGATCTCGGTCTATTCTACCACAAAGATGCAAAAGCTTCTTTAATCGGATATGCAGACGCTGGATACTTATCAGATCCTCAAAAGGCGAAATCACAAACCGGGTACGTATTTACTTATGGTAACACCGCAATCTCATGGAGATCTATGAAGCAGACATTGACAGCTACATCATCAAATCATTCTGAATTAATTGCACTATATGAAACCGGGAGAGAATGTGTGTGGCTGCGATCTATGATTCAACACATTCAAGATGAATGTGGTATGAAAGCTATTAGTTGTCACCCGACTGTGATCTACGAAGACAACACCGCATGCATAGCTCAAATTAAAGAAGGCTACATCAAAGGAGATAGAACGAAGCACATATCTCCAAAGTTTTTCTCTACTCATGACCTTGAGAAAGAAGGGACGATCAACATTCAACAAATCAAATCCAGTGAAAATCCAGCCGATCTCTTCACCAAATCATTACCCCCGAAGAAGTTCATGGAACTTGTACAGAAAATCGGCATGCGCCGCCTTAATAATTTATGTTAATTTCAGGGGGAGTATTTGAATGCACTGCACTCTTTTTTCCTTCATCAGGTTTTTATCCCACTGGGTTTTTCCTGATAAGGTTTTTAACGAGACAGTACATCCAAATGCAACGACATTATATGTCGTAATTTTTACCCCTTAATTTTCACACTCATTTTCACAATAAGATAACAAATACATATTCAAGGATGAACATTCAAGGGGGAGTGTTGTAAACCCATCAAATTGACAAGTGTGAATTATTCATCCTTGTCACTAGGACACCAAGATGTTCCTGATCTTTGTAATGATCCTTGTAACCTAGTTAGAATAGGTGGCTCAATTTGTTATTGCCACCAAATCTGTAGACTCATCATTTAGGTGACTAATCATCAAGCTCAAACACTATAAATAGGAGCTTGATGAAACCTTGTAAAAGCAATTCAAAAAACAGAGAAAATTTCAGAGATTATTAAGAAGAAGTTATTTAGAGCTTTTTATCAATATATCTATCTCTTTATTTAGTCTTCATCTTCTTCATTTCACAACAGTTACGTTTTTTTTTGCCATCTTCATCCTTCTATATTTTTATGCCTAAAATCGTATGATCCGTAAATGTATTAGGAGGACAAAGTAAAGAAGACATAACACGTAAAATCATGTGTATACGCGCTTATAAATTTGCACTTTTTATCCACCTTTAAAAGCGAATTAACAAAATAAAAGCCACTAATCCTGCTATTCACATCAAAACCCCTCAAGTGTCAACTAAAAAAGAGATTAAAAGCACTAATTTGGATCTAATGGCCTCTTTTCCCGTAGCTATAAAGAGAACACGTATCTTTTTTCTGTGTATAGTCTTGTTATTTTATCATCATACATAAGAAATGGGATTGAGAATTAGGAGTGTACATATATCTTTTTCAAACTGGAATTTCTGTACAATGCCGTTCAATCGACACTAGAAAGAGCATTTCTAGTTCTTGTGTTGGATCTTTCATACACCTCTTTCGCATTAAACTCATTTTTATCTACAAGTTTCTCGATCTACCTTAGTTTTTGCTCATTTTTTACTCACTTTTGGGTACTTTCATTTTTGAATCATAAATGCACCTTTTCATGCCCTTGTAATAATGATTGAGGAAATTGTATTTGGGACTCTCAAATCGTACACACATTGAAATGACATTCTACAATTGTCCGAATTAATGTTAATGCAATCGCCGATCATATTGTAAATGTCACCCTTATAAAGATTACATTTGCAACAATTGAGAAGTCACATTTACAAACTTGAATGCACGAGAGTACATTTCAATGTGACTACTATTCGATGGTTTGAAAGTGCGATCTCTCGTATAAAATTAATCTAAATCATTCTCACCTTTTTCATTTTTGTACATCCATCTATTTTTGTTTATATTAAATTAAAATTAAAAAAGTTATTTCTTTGTTACTCTTCTGTACCACTTACGATATACCTAAAATAATTCGCCTATGATGCTCTAAGAGAAGATAATAGTATCGATGACGATTGTAACTAATTGTCTAATTCCCCGATTAGTAATCAGACGGTAAATTAAAAGATAACTTAATTGGACAATGCACACTAAATTAAATTGAAGAAGTTTTGTTCGATCTAGTCGATTACTTAAAGCGAATGGACGCCAATTCTGCACTACATAAATTGTATATACAAACAAACTCCAAAACAACCCAAAGAATCCCAAACCCAAAATTCAGTAATGATAATAATAATTATGACATATTGTTTTCTTATGGACTACTAATTCCTATGATGGAGACATGCAGTTGTCGAGTAGCAACTTTGATTTAAGGAGCGTTTGTAATTAGACATGTATAAAAACAGTCCGGCCCGTTGGGCTGGACCTGTTAAAAATATGAACGGGCTTTGAATATAGTGTAGGCCACTTGGATAAAAAAGCCTGACCTATACATTATACTACTTCCGTCTAGAGAAAGTTCGTCATATTGAATTTTCTTGATCAATGATGACAAACTTTGAACAATGATTTTTAAGTAATACTACCTCCGTCCCGTTGGAATGTTCCCGTTCGGTTTACGATGCTTGACTGACGATAAAGCAACTCGATCCCTGTTCACACTCCGCTTATTTTTAGTAAATAAAATTTACATATTCAGAAACTACATTAAAACCGCTACAAAGCCTGATCAAGAAAAGTTCAATTTGATAAAAAATTGATATATAAAGTAAAAGATTAGGAGTGACCTAAGTTGACCAATAAATAGTGAACGGGAACATTCCAACGGGACGGAGGGAGTATATTTGTATACGATTTATAAATTTTATACTTTTATGAAAATATTATTAATGATGAACATTCAGATATAACTTTCATATTCAAATTAATTTCGTATTAAAAAATATCATTGATCAATGTTGATTGCCAATTTGCCATTGATCAAAATTAAAAAATCTATTTGACGAACTTTCTATGTGTGTGTGTTGTAAGGTGTTAGAGACTGTATAACCAAGCCCTATCCGTCGATTCAACTCGATGAGAAGTTGGACGGGGGGGGGGGGGGGGGGGGGGGTTGGGGGGCGGTAGCCCCCCCTCAGGGGGGCCGGGGGCGAAGCCCCCCGACTGAAATTAAATGAGAAGTAATTTTAGCCATTAAAATGAGATAATAATTGGATTAGATCAATTTTAAGTGCAAAAATGTGGTGACAAAAGTGTAAATATTAGGAACTTTTTCAAAAAATAAAATGATAAATATGCACCCCTATGACAAAAAATGCATTTGAATAACACAAAAACGACATCACTTGTAGAAAAAAATAACAATTAAGTAACATATTAAAAATCCATGACCTTAGATCATGGATTTTGACACCCCAATTTATGAAGATCATGCACATAAATATATTTGTTGGTGATTACCAACTTACCATAGATTGAATAACAAGTGATTACAAAATCCATATGTATAACTAAACTACTTAACCCTAGCTTTCTAGCTAGAATGCTAGTTTCACAATCAACAAGGTCAAAATAAAAAGAACATAAATATTTTGAGTAATTATTGATGACCTTAGTTGTTCTCACACCAATTTTTTATTGCTCTTTGAAGTGCTTCTATCACCACTTCTGTATTCATCCGACCATCTTCATTGTCTTCTTTTTTCTGAAATATATATGTGCATGTTAAAAAGAACTAGAATATGTTATTCAGTTTATTTTATTCTAATTAATAAGTTAATTAAGAGAGTACGTACTATAATTTCGGATTATATTGCTTAAATAGAAATGCAAGGAAAACAACTATAACACACATACATTAGTCATATTCATGTATTAGGTTATAGAATGTCAATAATGAAAAAAATGACTAAAAGTGTATAATGAAAAATAATTTGTTGTCAATTTTATAAAAAGTGTATGCCTTGTACAACTAATTAAGAAATAAGTACAATTTGAACATAAAAGTGCATATGAAGAACCATTTTTGCAACCATATAATCTTTGTACACACTGCACGCAGACACATTCATAAAGCTGGGAATTTAAACATTTTAGGAAGATAATTAAAACTATCTGTAAAACACTTGATCCATTAAACCATCATCCACTACAAAAAAACACGGGATTGACAGGGATTTTGGCAAGGATTTGGCAGGAATTTTGGCAAGGATTTGCCAAATCCGTGCCAAAAACACTTTGGCACGAGCTATTTGGCACGAAAAATCGGTAAGTCCGTGCCAAATTCCGTGTCAATCCCGTAATTTTATTGTAGTGATCACATGCATATAGGCACATTATGCACATGAATGCATGTATAAGATATATTTACCTGTCTAATATGTATGCACGATGCATCAAACAAGCATCAGTTCATCTTTTAACAATATGTAGTATAAATTTATTAGCAATTCAAATTATCTATAATATGAAGCACATTAATTATATATAGACTTATATCATATCTAATGCATGAGTAATCTTCCGGTCAGGAATTTCCTGACCGGGAGCGCCGTCCGGCCTCCTCCTTTTGGGGGCCTTTCCGGTGGTATTTTTTGTTCAATTTTTTTGTGTATGTTCCTCATCAAGTATAGTTCATTCATACCAAATTTTAGCAAAAACTTCAATCGGAAAGGTCGTCAAATGATTTTTTCAAGTTAACTGGTCCAGAAAATACATATTCCGGACTAGTTAACTTTCAAAAATCATTTGACGACTTTCCCGATTGAATTTTTTGCTAAAATTTGGTATAGATGAACTAAACTTGATGAGGAACATACACAAAAAATCTGACCAAAAAATACCACCGGAAAAGCCCCCAAATGGACGAGGCCGGACGGGGCTCCTGTTCGGAATTTCCGGACAGGAATAATCCTGTCTTATGCATATGTGATATTTAAAACAAAGGCATAGTAAATTTCGTGATGACATAAAGATGATTTGATGCACCCGGTGTTTAGGCTTCTCGATTGAGTTTACAATGATTGAATGACAACAAAATTAACGTAACAATCGCTTCATGAAATATGTATATCATTACTAATAATTAATTGAAATCTACATATTTAGGAATTTCTGTAGAAGTTTTGTTAGATCGTAATAGTTGAATTCGAATATGATGAAAATAAAATGTACTCCGTATAAAACTAAAGCTGATACTAAAAGAGGGTTAATTAAGTTTAATTTGTTTGTAATGTATGAGAAACCTTAATTGGAGCTGAAAAAATGACTACTAAAGTTTAAAACACTCTTGCATTTCACAATAAGATATACACATATGATATTAGTTAACATTATTTCTATAAATAAAATATAATCTTAAATTCGAAATCAACAGCTTCATGCTTACTATTGTAAAATTAAAGCACATTGTTGGACCACAAGAAGCATACATGCTATACATGAAAATGTAACTTAGGTATTTGATTTTTCATGCTTACATCACTTATTATTTAGTCAAGTGATGCAAAAATTGTTTAAAAATAATACTCGTAGCAGATATGGATATCCACCGTACCGTTTAAAGATATTTATAGTCAAAATGATTTAATAGGCTTTCACTCACTTTTTCTATAATAACATATATATATAATGTTTATTAAAACAAAAAAAACATACTATCGTATAATGTTTACTTTGATTTTGTATCATATAGTTGTTTGATACACTAATATCGACTTTGAGTACTCTTTAATGATAAAAATTAACTCACTATATTTGTCATTTTGTAATGTCAACTAGCTCTACATTTAAATATCGTATTGTATGCTAATACATACTACGTATATTTTTTGGTTTGTCATTATACTATTAGTAATACCGTAATGAAGGAAAAAGTTCGCCCATTGAACTAATATTCTGAATATGTCCACACTTATGCTCAAAATGTATTACGGAGTATTTTATATAATTATTGTGCAAATTGTGTATATAAATATGTTTTACTATGCCATAATTAAATGTGTTTAGTGGGGTGTGTATGTGGAGATACGCTACTACCTCCGCCCCCCTATCATTAAGATCAGAAAAGTGAAATTGTGTGATTCATAAAAATGAATTGTAGTCATCTAGCTAAAAGGAAATTGTATTAAGTCGATGAAGTTATGTAGACGAACGGAGAAGGTAAAATGAGACAAAAATAAGGGAACGGGCAAGTAATATATATGTGTACCTCTCCACCAATTGCTTGTAGGTGAAAGTTGTCCATTGAAGAAACTCTAGCTTCTAAAACATTAAGACTCAACTCCTCAAAAGCTTCAAGTAAAGCAACAAGAAGACCAGGACAACTTGTTTCTGAGTATACCTTCACAAAGAAACCTTTTTCTAGGTATTCTACGGAAAATTTCTGCACACACAAGATGAAAATTTCTGAGTATACCTTCACAAAGGAAAAATTCTACCAATTCATTTAAATTCTTCTTCTTGTAAAGTCAGATGGTTCTTGTTTGAGATTTATTACCTTAGATATTATATTAACAAACAAAGATATACTTCGTATATCTTAATTAAAAGGTTAACTCGCACAAGGAATATCCAAAACATACTAATACATAAATTTGCATAGATACATTTTAGTTAAAGAATAACTAAAACTGCTTGACCACATCAAACAAAGTGAATTGAAGAGTTTTGCATTTCAAGCCTCCGAAAAAAAATCCGAACCTTTTAAGATTAATCTAGCCTCAGCCTTCTTGGATCCTCAAAGATGTTGAAGTAAATTCTAGATTCATCTTTGACATTATCAAAGTGGTAACCTGTACCTAGTTGGCTATCCTGATGTAATAGGTTCCAACATCATATTAATTCCACATGCTACTCGAAATTTTGGCATGTGCGTTAGTAATTTGCATTTTGGCTACAAATTCCCAAGTTTTACAAATACAGGTTAACTAATTAGGATGTTTTCTTTTAGAATGCAGAAATTTGCTGGTCTGGCCTGGTCTGATAAACGTCTGGTTTCTGTGTATTTTATAACTATGAAAGTCTGGTCTGGTGTGGTTGGTCTGGTCTGGTCTGGGACTGAATACAGTTCAAAACAAAACATTGTGTTTTTCATTAAGAATTTATTGAGAAATCGTTGAACGATATTGGGTTTTAAGAAGGGTTCCTTTGTTAAAGTTGTGTTGAGTAATTAGATGCAACTAGGCTATTTAAGGAAATAATTCCAAGTAAATAGTGATATGACACAGAGAGAGTCGATTAAACTAGTATGAACAATTGATTTAAAAGTACTAAATAGTCCACACATACAAAATTAATCTTCTTCATTGTTCTAGAACTCCATAGGCATTAGTTAGGCGACAAAGCAGTGCCTAGTGACTTGGGCGCTGGGATGCTAAATATACTCATATTTAATTTTAGAACTTGGAGTTATGCTAACATGAATGCTAAAATATGTATTGTTTATGTGTATCACAATTTTTCATTTCGTAGTGGTATAGTAGAAATATTGTGTGCAGTCTATTATGTAAACATACACCAATAAATTATAAATATAGTTGTAGTTGAAACATTAGTAATTGCCCTAAGTAGAAACTTAATTGTAAAAACAGGACTAAATGTACTCTAAATCATTCATAAATAGGACTAAATATTAATATTCTAACCTAAAACCTCTAATCTAATTAATTAACCGCCCCCTAGTTCCTTGGGCAATCGGGACAGTCCGATCCGTTGGTGGCGGGGTAGTACGGTGGCGGCAAGACAGTCAGGCGGTGGGTATCGGTGGTGAAGCTCCAGCGAATCTCCTGGCGTGAAACTAGCACAAAATGTGATCTGGAACTTTGGCCGAATTCCGGCGGCATCGGCCGGATTCCAGCAGCGGCAAACAACGCAGTTGAGCGATGGCCTGTGGCCAGCGGAGGTGGCCGGAGGCTGGCGGCAGTGGCCGGACGCCGGCAATGGTGGCCGGCGGTCGGCGTTGGTGGCCGGGCTGGACCGTCCAAATGCTACAAGGGTATATTTACCCAAACACATATGATTTAATGATTAGTCCTATATAGGAGTCTTGTAATTTTAGGCATGTTTTAGTCAAATTCACGTAATTAACTCTTGAAACAATCTTTATGGTCAAGCAAATGCAACTCCATAATACAATCTTCACGACCAAGAAAAACGCAATTAATCTTCACACATAAAGCAAAAACATTACTTAAAAATTTAAAGCAAGTGGTCAAGAGAAAAAACCACACAAGCAGCGAGCATACATAACCTCAAAAATCTTTAGAGATTTTTGTTGAAATAATAGCGGGCACTTTAGAGATTTTGTGTTGCCCCAACAATCTTTATATAAGATTAAATGTTTAATAGCAATTACTAATAATATAGTCTAATACATACAAAACAATTTTTGAAATGTAAAACTCACATTCAAAATTTCAATATTTAAAAAATAACAAAATAAGTGATGATTATATATTAATTTAGGCCTACTAAAGTATAGATGACAGTAATTTTTATCATTCTCTTGAGAAAGAAATCAATGATGATGAACGTTAGTTTATGAGTAATTTTATACAAAGTACTAATTAGGACTGAGTATATATACTAGAACAAGTGTTACTAAGTCGATCTGTTTTAAGTGTTTTTATAAAACACACACACACATAATTCTATATCATTTTTCAGCAAATTCCTTCTATCTGCAATCGGTGCAATTCACATGTTTATTGACTAATTAATATACATAAATATATTTTTTAATATAGCTTATCAAAAAGTAAAAATGCAAAAAGTATAGCCAAATATAAAAGTTTTTTTACTCCAAGGGGACTGGACCGCTTCCTCATAAAAGCTTTATTTTTATACCCTTACTTTCATTTTGAATCTATAGTCAATTGTAAACAACTAAATTATCAAATACGAAGTATCCTCACTTCAATTCATTAATGATGGTGGCTACTTAATCATATGAATTGAGCATTAATATTTTAGTGATATTCAAATATCTTACCAAATGTCTTAATGTTTGAACATTAATTTTTGATAAGAAAAATAATTGGCAAAAATGAACTATTAGTATCGCAGAGAAAACTATTACAAATAGGATTATAGCAATAAATCAAGAAAACTTTGTCCCACCAATAAAAATAACTAATAGATATTCTCTTCGCCCCTTAACACTTTGTCATTTTTTATTTTTTAGTCAACCATGTTTAACTTTGATTGGTTATATATTTTTTCAGCTTTGCTAATAGTACACATTTCATTATACCTACCTTATACCTACCGATGTGAGCAGACTATTTGATTTATTTCACATACTCCCTCCGTATCTTTAAAATCTTCCCATTTCAAAAGTAGGTAGATTAAGAATAGTGAAAGATGATATGAATTATTGAGGGTATGATGGGAAAATAGTGGAATAATGTGGTGGAATGTAGGATAAATCCAAAAAAAGTAGTTGTAATAGTGTATTATTTTAAGAATTATTGAGGGTATGATGGGAAGATTTAGAAATGAGAAGATTTTTGTGTTACGGACGAAAAAGGAAAGTGAGAAGATTTTTAAGTTACGGAGGGAGTACAAATTTGTCTGTAAACATGTCCCCCCGACAAAAACATGTTTTTTGTTTGTGAACAGGATTCATAGACAAAGAACATTCTCACGGAGCTAGGTACAAGGTGAATATAAGGAAGTGTGTACACATGGGTTTTTAATATATTTTTATAGGAAGTTAGTTACTCCGTATAATATAAAAGTGATGAGGAGATGTTCTCTATTAATAGTATTATCATAAAACTATAAAATGTACAACTTCTATAATATTATACTAAGGTGGTGATATTCATGTAGATTCCATTGTTATGTTTGTGTTTTTATTTAGTTTTGTTGATTGTTACTTTGGAAATCACACACTTTTGGTGTAATAGTTTAGTTTGTAAAATATTTGTGATTTGTTTAGATTAGGATTATTTTGAGCTCAAGCAGATCCATGATCACATAAGAGATCATTGGTGAACCCAAAAAGTGGAAGGAAGGTGCAAAAATATATGCAAGACAAAAAGAGAAGATTTCGATTTTGGGCTGTACCCGGTTAGGTATACCCTATATCCGATCGGGCACCTACTTGTTTTGCATATCCGATCGAATCTAGAAGACAAAGGAACGTGCAGGGCAATATTTGACCACGATCCATTGTCATACCCGATCGGGTACACCGACTCACCCGGTCGGGTATGACTAAAAATCATAGCTTCCGGGAAGCTTCTGAAGATACGCGATCGGGTGACAAAACTAATCCATAGTCATAACATTGTGATATATATCATTGTGGAAATGGTACTTAGTTTTAAAAACATATCACTTGTTTTTCCATCACAATTCACAAACAATAACAACAAGACTCGTGAGACATTTTCATGATTCAGTTTATCCATTGAGAGATGTGTCTTTCACTCATAACAAATTACGTGTTATCTACTAAGGCTCATGAAAGACAATGGATCAATCACTACTATACTCTTGATTTTATACATTAAAATGCTCAAGTAGCTAATTTTGTATACATGCAAGTCCAAACCAATCTAACAATTTCTTCTAGTCATATAACCGAATATGCCATTGTCTTGAATATACTTTTATTTGCGGCAATTTTGCATATCCTTCATTCGCCCACTCACGTCCATGATAATCACTACAAGAAAAGCTACTTTTAACTAGGAAAATTAGTTAACTAGGAAAATTAGTGACGGGTGGATAATCCCGTCCAGGGCCGGCCCAGAGCATGTGCTGGCAGTCCAACCGCACAGGGTCCAAAAAAAATTAAGGCCCAAAAAATAATATTTTTACTTAATATTGTTATATGAAGTGATTTAAAATGCGGCCTAATAACCAGGCTTACAATTGAGATCGGCCTTTAGCCTTTTTGGAAGACACTAGGCGTACAAATCAGTGAAATCACCCATATGGATGACTGAATGGGAGAAGTCTTTTTTAAAAAACAATAGGCTATAGAATTCTTTTTCATGATCGGTTTGGGAAACTAATTAGGAGATCAGCGAAAACAAAACAACGTTATGCTATGGAGTGTATTTATTGGGATTTGAATGCCAGGCTTTCCCATCATGAGCAAGGTCCAGGATGTTTGCTTCAAATAAAATTATTCCAAAAATAAAATTTTTCCAAAAATGACAAATACGCAAGTATTATTATTTTTATTGGAAATAATTACAAAGTTATGATTATAATAAACAATATTTATAAAAATTTGAGTTTTTAAACGTAGTGATTATTATAATAGTAAATTTAATCACATTAACTAATATTCATCTTTTAGAATTAAGTAATCATGACATAATAATAGTAACAATATTTAAAAATGTCTATGTAAAAATTAAAATAAAGTATATAAATTAAAACAACTTTTCACGTCTGACCCTACCTAATTAAACTTGCTTAGGCTTCAAAGGCTTTAAATATAGTCATGTCGCTTTGATACGCCTTGCGCCTTTTAGAAAGTTTGTACTTATAACTCACATTGAAAATATGTTTAAAGATCTCTTTTAATATAAAGGGTACTTTGTAAATGGATATTTTTATTTTGATAGTATTGTTAATTAAAAATAACTTGAAATTTGATATAAAGTATTAAGAATTTCTTACTAACATAGTGTACCATATATTACAAACTACTTTGTAAATTTTTTACGTTTAAATGAAAGGACTAATTTTTATTGTTGCACAGGGCCTCTAATTTATCAGGACGGGCCCTGATCCCGTCATTAATAATACTAGTTTTAGAGTTTTAGAGAGGGGGGAAATCCTCTAATTAAATTAGTGAGGACTTTTTGTTTTTTTATACATGATACCCTCATTATTGATAGTTGAAAACTTTAAGACCCTCACTATAGGTAATTTGACAATCGACGGATACTTTGAAGAGCGGCAACAAAAAAAAATCTCCTGCTAAACGAATAGACGTATTCGTAGTATTCGCTAAAGAGTAGAAACCAACATGGATACTCCTAATTGAACCTAATATTGAATAAGAATGGTATATTTCCAAAAACAAATTGATTTAGGAATGTATTAAGTTGATTGAATAACTTCTTGATTATTTATGCTGGTGTATAATGCAAGGGCTTAATAGCATATAATTGAAGTTGGCGAGTGAATTAAAAGAAGCCAATTTTGTAAGAAGCTGGAACTACTCTTATGAAAGCTGGTGGAATAAGAGGTGAAGGATGAAAGACTATTTGATAGTCACTTGTGTATTAGTTTTTTTGTTACTCTTCATTTTGAGATACTTTCACTTTGTTAGTTGTGTCTTTTCGTTGGAAAATACTTAAATTAGGGGCGTATGACAAATGTACACATTGAATGTTGTATTCATTTGTTGGTTTAGTCTCTAACACTACTCTTGGAAATATATATAATTGCAAATTATTATATTTTTCGGTTCAAGCATATCATGACAGTTCTACGCGCACACTATATATATGCATATATGTATAAATGTGTGTGTATGTATGACAATACTTCCTATCATTAAAACATTATAATTACAAAGTTTTCTTATTGTGGCTAGTTGTATTAATGACGAGATCTTTTGTCATAAAAAGAACCTTTTAGTGAGGGTGAATCGACTCTCATTGCATACGTACTAATTAATGATAAGATTGTATACCCGTCATTATATACTTTTAACCGTGGAAGCTGTAGTGACTGGGGGTGAGAGGAGATCCCTCCTCATTAAAACTCTTTTATGATAGGTTTTTGTCTTTTAACTACGGTATCTCCCGTCGTAGATGAACACTTTTCTTGTAGTGAATTCCTTATTGTGAAATATTCTCTTTCACTCTTGTCAGCCCCGTAACCAACAATCAAAATGGTATAATCTAATTGTGATTTCTTATAGCATGTACACTCATACATTTAACAAAAGAAGATTAAAATATTAACACATATGACTACGGGAGTGTTTGCGATTGCTTTTACTTTAAAAATGTGATTTTCTTAAAGTGATTTTTGAGAAAGTGCTTAAAGGTAAAAGTTGATAGTGTTTGAGAATAGAAGTGATTAATGTGAAAAAGTTAAAGTTGAAGTGTTTGATAAAGAAAATGATTTTTAATGTAATATTAGATTAAACTACAAAAATGCCCTTGCATAAACACGGAACAACTCTCCATGGCCAAGCAAGCCTGATCTGGAGCTTGGAAGTTGGGTACGGGGTTTTTCATCTCTCAGGCAAATGTTTGTCAATTGAAACTCTGGGCGGCGTCTCTCCACGGCCAAGAAAGTTGGTCTGCCCCAAAGTATTTGAAAGTCATATGTCCATCGTCCCGTGGAGGCGATGAGTGTGTCGTTCACGCCGGCGGCAGACGGTGCCATTCACGTCGGCGGCGGACAGTGTCATTTACGCCAACGGCAAACAACTTCATGTACAACTCGAGATTTAAAGTTGAGCATCGAAGTACAAGGCTGAAGGCTCGTATTTCGATATTGTTTGAATATATATGCATGTCTGTGGAAGAACAAGGTAGAGTGGAAACAGAGAGGTCAATCGAACGCAGGGACATTGGGGAAGATGGGGCATTTTTTGTTTAAGTTATACTGTACAAATGTATCAATACAATTATTCCTAAAGTTCACATTATTTACAAAAATAAACTGAGAAGTAATTAAAAATACCTCTACCTTAGCTTCCAGCTTTTAGCTTTAAAGTGCTTAATTTAAGTAGAAGTAGATATTTGAAAACACTAACTTTAGCTCTTTTAAAGTAAAAAGCTGAAAAGTGCTTTTTTAACACTACAACATTTCAACTCCTAATGTATCACCCAAAAGTGTTACAACATCACAGAAAAGTGTTAAATTAGAGAAAATGTAACATTTTTTTACCATTACATTTGCTCATGTTGCATTAGATCTATTGTAACACTTTATAGTCTCTAATGTAACATTTATACCTCTAGAAAGTGTTACATTAGGTCTATAAAGTGTTACATTAGGTCTAAAAAGTGTTACATTAGAGTAAAGTGGTCGCAAAACACTCCTTACATATGCGTAAAATGCAAAAGTATTGAAGTTGAAGTATTTAGGTCCTTACTTGGTAAATGCAACATGAGCAAATGTATGGTAAAAAAGTGTTACATTTGCTCTAATGTAACACGTTTTAGTGATATTGTAACACTTTTGGATGATACATTAGATGTTGAAATGTTGTAGTGATTTATTTATCCTTATCTTATTCGTTTTATCCTTTATTTTTTCTTCTTGACTGTCTTCTCTTTTTGGCATCGATATCATGGATCGATTCATGTTAAACGACCCCGTAATCTTTTGGGATTAAGGTTTGAATGTTGTTGTTGTTCGTTGTTGAGGTAATGAGGTAAGAGATGGTTTTAAAAATATATGTTTGAGACCGAATCGGGTCCTTTTTGCGGTTTTGGTTGTAGGACCGTCCCTAGTCCTAATTTCGGTGTTTACAGACGATTTTATCAACCTACTCTTTTTTAAATGTTCGGGATGATCCTCTTCTTTCCTTTTAAGACGGTTCGCATGGTTAACGTTCTTCCTTGTCATCAATCACGAATTACACATTTACAATTTACTACGGAGTATAATAATGTTTTCAAGTTACATTCAGTCCAATATAACTTAGTTTGATAAAGGTCCATTTTATGTGTCATATATACTAAACACCCCTTTTATTGAGGTACAATGTTCTGACATCGTTTAACACTATTTTGCATTGTGTCGTTATTATTTAAGGGATGTAGAGTGAATTGATATAAATTTGTTTATCAAATAGGGAATAGAAGAATTTTTTAGGGACATCCGATCCATAAAAGCAAAGTGAGTAATTTATTTAGAGATGGAGGGAGTATTATCTAAATTAATCTGATCTTTTTAATTTGGGAAAATGGAAAATAATAGTCGGACTTTTTTTTACCCCAGGGGGCATCGGGGTTTGGGGGGTTTGGGGGCCTGGGGTAAACTGGACTCAATCTCACTCCATAAAATCTGGCTTGGGATGTAAATCAATCCAACTTATAACATTCTTAATTTTCGTATCAAATCCAACCGAAAACAAAATTTTGACATGTATGATTGGTATTTTTTCAGACCGCTAAGACATCACCTTTGGATTTTATGAAGTACTACCGCCGTCCTCATTTTATGTATCTTTGTTTTGAATAGGGATAATTATTAATATAGTGGTTGAAAAAGTAAAAGTTGTGATTGGAAACTTCGAATATATATGAGTATAATAAAATGAAATGTTGTGCCCAATATATTTCTTTCCAAAAACAAACATGTGACACTTATTTTGGTACAACTTAAAAAAGAAAGTGAAAAATGTAAAATGGGATAGAGGGGGTACTTAATAATTGAACCCGCTCGAATAGCCTAATTGGTAAACTGATGAGAAAGTTTATACAATGACTAAAGATTGAAACTCGCAATGACTCTGTGAAGGTCACAACTCTTTTAATTTGTGTTGGCTTGGGTCACATATGGAAAACATAGATCGTAATATCGTATTATTTTTTCTTAATGCTGATGTCAATATCAATACAAGACTATGATTGATAATACTTTACTTCCCTTGAAGAGAAAAATATATGGAAATGCTTATATTTTACTTATTAGTCAATTTTCTCAAGAACGCACAAATATTGATTTGACACATTGGATTGTGTAATAATCAAAATAAGCAAGGTTGCATTACTTTTTTGACTGAATTGACTGTAATTATTGTAGAATATTATTTTAGCTATTTAATTTTTCATATAATATTTTCTTTATTTTATTAATAGAATATATAGAGCATTTGAAATATAACTTTTTCATAATTTAGCATATTCAGCCAGTGCAACCGTTTCATCCAGAACTTTATCAGTTCCTACAGAATCAGTTGATTCGGCTTATTTTAATGTTATAAAACAAACTCTAAGAGTATATACATAATATACATGTAAATTTGAATTGAAATACAATATTAGGGAGAATATATACATGCATGAAACAAATTGTGGAGCTAGCGCAATGATTAAATGAAAATAATACTTAATTACCGGGCAAGATGGCGATGAAGAGTTGGTATTGTTTGTTGAAATTAGAGAGGCAGCTGCGAATTCCGATTCTTGGTTTGCTCTTCCAACCTTGTCCTTCAACTCTTGGATATACCTGGTCGCATCCATTATGATTGATGTTTCACTCATCTGTCCATCCATATACATATGGATTAATATATGTTTTCACAACTTTTACATAAAGAAAACACATAAAATCATATGCATATTATTATTATCACTACAAAAAACAACAACGATTTGCATTGGCACGATCGTGGCACAGATCTTTGACATGGATTAGCCAAAATTTACAGGGTATTTGGCATAGGTTTGGCACGGATACGTCAAGTCCGTGCCAATGTCGTTTTGTGACCAGCTATTTGTTATGATCCGTGCCAAACTCAATCAATTTGTGTCAAGTCCGTGCCAATATTGTTGTTTTCTTGTAATGGTATACTCTATTATATACGAAGTATATTACAGCGTCAGAGTTGGTGACGGATCGAAGGAGTTGCATTTTATCAAGCAGCATATCTCTTTCTTGCTCATCGTTGGGAAGCATTCTGTTGCTTTAAAGTCCTTAATTAGCTTATTGCTTCTATATATCTAGCTACCCTTCTGATGATATTTCCCCTCCTTTTTGAGAATCTGAGATAGATGCTAGCTAGATCTTTACTACCCTTCTTCTCTCTATAATAAGACTATAATAATGTGTGTATGTCTACAAGATATATATAGAAGCAGCCGTGAAGGAGAGGGGCCTACGAAAAAGCTCAAAACTAAAAGAAAGTGTCTGTAGTCCACTTTCCTTCCTAATTTGCTACATTCCCGTATGACCCCTCTCATCTTCACCATTCAAATCCCATCCTTTAATTTCCAGCTACAAAGATAAGTGTATGTGTATATGTGTGTGTTTACATACATACATACATATACACTCGTAAATAATACTAACTCCCGAAGATGGAGACACGATTGATATTGAATTGATCGATGAAGTGTGATTAAACTAAGAATAAATTGTGATCACAAAAATGATAACTATGATATACAACAAATTTAGTGAAACAGATCAAAAGATATATAATGGCTGGGACAAAGGGGAATGGAGGGACTACAAGTTAATAGCATCAAAAAAGAAAAACGTTTCGGACTCCTACCAATAAAAGAAATTACTCAAAGTAGGAGTAAAACATAGAGAAGATTCTAGAAAATAATTAAGTATGTTTTTTTCAAAATAGAACTTACTTACAACAACTACATCTAAATCTTAGTCTCAAAAGATTTTGACGTTCGCTAACATGATTTAGTACATGACATTGGAGTAAAAAAAAAAGACAAGAATGATAAAAAGATAAGGTAAAATAAATGAGATAAAATGGACCGTATAAAAAGATTATAATTAAAGATATATACAGAGTATAAGATAAAGATAAATATTGAATTCCTGAAATATGAGTAAAACATGGGCTAAATGCAAATACATGATCTGCTCTGTGTTGTTTGAATTCCTTCAATATGAGTAATTACGTGTGTTTGGACTAAAATACCCTTGCGGTTACTGAACTGCCCAACCTAGCCCGCTGCCACCACCTGCCCCCTGTCGTCATCCGTCGGAGCTCCATTTCCGGTCACTAAACTTCCCCCGCCTCCGGTCGCCACCATCCGTCGCCGGAGCTCTGCCACCACTGACTATCTCCATAATTTTGTCACCAACATTTTGGCGCCGCCGCCAATCTGTTGCTCCCAATGGTCCTACCTTGATTATGCAAGGGATCTAGGGGGAGCAATTAATTATACTATATACGTAGTATTACTTAATACTCGGTATTATATTAGGGGTAAAATGATAATGTTTAGTACTCCGATCCTATTTAAGAAATGATAAAAAAAATTAAGTAAGATAAAGAAGATAAAAAGATGACAATAGAACTTATTAATTCTATTAAAAAGTGAAAGAATAAAATTCTCTTATTTTGAAAAAAAAAACAATAACATTTTTATTTGAGAAAAATTGCTACTCCTTTGTTTTAGTGGAAGAATTTTCTCTTATCAATAATAACCAAAAAAACAATAATACTGTTTTAGTCCAAGAATTTTCTCTTATGAATAATATAAACCTTCGTGATTGTAACGTAATTACAAATTCAATTCATGCAATAGCCTTGATTAATTAGAGGATTAGTGCATGGGATTTTTACAAGAATATTACTAAAATAAAACTTATTTAATTAAATATGGCTATTCATTACTACGGAGTACAACGTAGTGTTATGGTAACTTAAGTTCAAAATTTGAACATGAATTACTATGATTTCATTACTACTCTAGTAAGTAATCATATTTTTTTTAACCATCTTTATTTTGGTCATTTTGTATGTAATTATCTCTTAGTGCATATACTTCGTAAGTTCTTATGTAAGAACGTGACTTTATTGGGAGAACAAACAAGTACCGAGTCATGCTGTAATGAAGAATCTCCGATACTCTCTGATAGTCCTTCGCTATTTGAAGTAATACCCGCTTTTGGTACTTGGAATGTTTTTACTTGGACTTGAACCGTAATTTGTCCCAGATCAGATCAGATTAGACCAGACCAGAACTGACCAAACCTGACCAGATTTGGATAGTTATAAAAATACAAAGAAACCACAATAGACTAGACCAGATCAGACCAGATCGAACCAGACCAGCAAATTACAGTCCAAGTAAAAACAACCTAGGTATTATTGAAGTGTGACAAATAACTTCAAAGAATTTGAAACAATTTCAAGAGCAAGTATACATCTAATTTGAAACACATACACTATTATAATTTGGTATTGATGTTCATTATATTCGAGAAAAGGTGCAAAAGCACATGAATTTTACCGTGGGCGAATTGGCTTTACGTTTTATAACGTGCTAAAATATCATTATTAATATACCCTTTTGGGGAGATTGACTCATCTTAGCCTTCTCATGCTAATAAAGAATCACTAAACATAATTGATATGTAAATTGTGAAAAGTGAAAACAAAATGTATTTCCTTTAGAAAAACATTATATATACATACATATATTAGATCAAATGAGAATGTAATACGAAGTATATTGAAAGATCGATATGAGAATGAATTAGGTACTTAGATTAAAAAATTGCGTGTTATTGAAACTGTGGTGGCCTTTTTGAAAATAAGTAAAATAATGCAGCGTACCATTCTAAAGTCTAAACTATGTGATGATAAAAAAAAAAGAGTCTAAACTATGCATTAACTTTATCAGAATATGTATCATATCGTCATTAACTATGGTGTCGGTTCATTCTCATTTCTCACGATCGATATCGACCATTCTTACAATTTTACTGATCAAACCTTATATACGAAGTATATGTGTGTAGAAAGATCCTTATTAGGCCGGCCGATATACATAATGGAATTATGTTAAGCCAACTTAATATTTGGCAAAAATTTACTTTGATAATATTGTTTTCGTGAGAAGCATTTTATCTATTGATTTCAACCATTAGATCTTAATTATATTTACCTGAAAGGCTGAAAGTAAACCCCACAACATTCCTTTATCTCCTCTAATAGTTAATATTAGTGCACATGAAAATCATATTTATACTCCGAAAAAATTAAAGATTTGATTATTTGATTATTGAAACTAATAGTTTATATTAATTAACAAAAAAGAATGGATCATGAACTTCCTTTTGACATGAATTGTTTTACATGGACACACATATTATTATGTTATATAAAATATAATAATATTAATATATTAATTGTAGAAAATGAAAACAATAAATTAATTTTATATTGAAAAATAAAAAAAGTATTTTCATTGTCCACATTTATTTTATTGTTAATATATTTTGGTTTTGTAAATCAAGAAGAGAACCTTGGTTGTAAAATATGACTCGATTTTGCCAAAACGAATTGTTGGAACCGATTGTTTTCGCCCCCATTATATTTGCTATCAAATGCATGAGTTCGCACTCTGTGTTTATAATCATTAATATTTGTACATATAAAAGATAAAATCTGCTTCCTATAAACAGATCGACCTCATTTTTAATAGTCCGTACGTAGTTCTTTTGAACTTTTTGCTATAAGTATTTTTAAAATGGGTGCAAGTGTGCAACCTCATTACCTCAGTCCTCAAATTAGTATTTGCACCTAATGTTTTTTTTTACCTTTTCTTAAACAACATTTGACTTTGCTGTGAATGAGATTCAAAGTAAAAGAAGTTAAACGAAAAACGCTCATCAATTCCTCTCCTCGACTTGGGAAAGTGTACTTTTGTGGACATATATAGGGTATGATTGCTTTGCTTTGCTTAATGTAATGTGTATACACAACCTTTTTACATATATTTATACATTTGGACATTTAGTGTGATTTCTTTAAAATACCATATAGGAAAAAATACCATATAGGAAGTATATGGTTGATATGAATGCGCGTATATAAAGGGTATCTATTATGACCAATCCGAATAATAATGGACCAAACAAGATGACAAGTACGAAGTGATGGAGGTGTACCTGCTTTCAAAAGCACACTCCGTAGTTGTTTTGTGAAACTTTCCTACATACTCCAAAATGGATAGTCCAATCTTTACTACTCCCTAGCCTCTATGCATGGAAGTATGGAATTATGTAACTTGTTTTTCATTTTGTGGCATTCCAATTTTTTCCTTTTTTGACCATAAATATGTAATTCTTATTGTTTCGAGTTTCATTACTCAAATCTCGATCATAATTTTTATTTTTCAATTGAATTATTAATATTGTGTCAAACCAAACATATTACAAAAAACAACAAAATTTTCACGGATTTGACACGGATTGATCAATGATTTTAATTTGTGTCAAATGTATAGCACGTGGCAAGTGGCAACATACCATTGACACGGATTTGACATATCCATGTCAGCTCGTCTATGAATTTTGATGAATCCCTAGCCAAACATGTTATTTTGTGAAACTTTCCTACATAGTCCAAAATGGATAGTCCAATATGTCCTACATAATTTGGTCATTTTCTATTTTAAATAAAGAATTTGTGCTTATTGTTAATTCTCTCTCCCGCACAAACTTGAACCTTACATACATTAAGGGAGCGAGGGAGTACAAACATTAACATATACGAAAATATCATTTATGTATGTATATATGGACTCATGTGCCAAATAGATCCAACGCCATGTGTGTTAAACCCTTGCACAATTAGACAAATCTCAGCCAATTCAATTATCTACTTCAATTCTATAAAACCATATGTCGGGTAGTTTATATGACACCATAACAGTCGCTAAAATGCCAACCCAGTGAATATATCCTAAGACCCATCCAAGATAGAATATGACATTTCTGCTCTAATTCCGTGCAACTTTTCATTATAAAGTTGCAGTCATTTTAGATGTACATACCCAGAAAATAAGTTACTCCTGTATAAAATTGACATACAAATGCCCATACCATATGTTATCTACATAGTGCTCGTACGTTTTTTTATCTCATTTGAGTCTTTATAGTTACTATTCATACAATTAAGTGAATATCATCTTAATATCTAATCTTATACGTAGTATATCTCAATTCTTTGTGTCATAATTGAATTCTGTTTTTCAGATTCAATAGAACTATTAATGTTGTTCGCAAGTATGTAATCCGTAACTTTTTATTATGAACACTAATCCAAA